ATATATATATATATATATATATATATATATATATATATATATATATATATATATATATATATATATATATATATATGTCTGCAGCAAATATTTTTGTTTTATTTTTGTTGGCTTATCAAAGATTTCATTTCACTCTACAATTTTTTGCAGTCGAGGGAAGTATTTCTGATTTATTTCATTGTTTAATTTCAACTTATCCGTAAATATTCATCTAAATACGAAAACTGAAATTTTTAAATGGCTTTTTTTATTTGGGTAACCAAATAAAAGCAGGTGAACCATCTCAACAGTAACTCATCATCACTGAATAAAAAAAATTAACCCTCGCCGTTTTTTATTTCTACGGTGCATATTCTCTGCCTGAAGATTGAAACACTTATGCAACTTATGGCAATTTTTATTGAGGAAACGTTTCGCCACACAATGGCTTCATCAGTCCAGTACAAAGCAGAAAGGTGTAAGGAGAGGAGAGTGAGGTAATCGGTTCCTCAGCCTGGAGTCGATGCTGTACATTCTACAAGATTAATGGACTGAACACATCGACTCCAGACTGAGGGACTGATTACCTCACTCTCCTCCTCTCCTTACACCTTTCTGTTTTGTACTGGACTGATGAAGGCACTGTGTGGCGAAACATTTCATCAATGAAGATTCCCATATGTTGCATAAGTGTCTCAATCTTCAACAGGTCGGTTTTTTAAACCATTTATCCCATATTTTCTGCCTAAAAGTCACACCACATATTGATCACAAACATGACATCTCCACTACCTCCAGCGTCTGGTACACTGCCATTTTTGTCTCCACTGATAAACCACATTTACTACAGACACCTCAAAACTCTGCGTACCTTCTTCCCATTTGTTTATTCTATGATTCACCTTTTCTTTCATAGACTCTTTTATAACTCATCTGCAGACACATCCTTCGTAGTCCTTCCTTCTAGTCTATTGTCCAGTCTTTCATGGGTTAAACTTTTGTTGTTCTCAGTCATCTTACTCTTTTCTGTGTTGACTTTTACTTAATGTTGAAAAGTCACTTGAGCAACACTGGGGTATCTTTCTTGACAAAAAGTTTCGCCTTCATAGCAGACTTTTCCAATCAAATACTGGAGACAGTGAAAAAAAGTAGTATTGTAATTTTAAAATGTTCAGTCCCTTAGCCTTGAAATGTTAATAGAAAGCGTCGAGTCCCTTAGTGTCGAGTTCAAGTTTTCAGTCATTTAGCTTTGATCAATTTATAACAGAAGAATGAAAATGGAGTCGTATATATTGAAGCTTCATGAGAGGTGCAGCATTAGGAGACTGCACTACAGGTGGGTGGGATGTGGCTTGGTGCAGTAGTGGTCTAACTAGCTTCCAAGAAGGATGCCTAGACAACTCGGGTTCAAATCCTGGCCAATGTGTATGTTATATATATATATATATATATATATATATATATATATATATATATATATATATATATGTATGTATATATGGGTCTATGAAAGACGAGGTGAGCCATAGAAATGATAAGAGGAAGAAGATAGGTGGTACACTGAGGAGTCTGTGTAGACATAGGACATTATCCATGGAAGGAAAGAGGGGAATGTATAAGAATATAGTGGTACCAACGCTTTCTTACGGGTTCGAAGCATGGGTGTGAATGTTGCAACAAGGAGAAGGCTGGAGGCAGTGGAGATGTATCTGAGGGAAATTTGTGGTGTCATTGTTATGCAGAGAATCCGTAGCCTGGAGATTAGAAGGAGGTGCGGGGCTTCTAAAAGTATTATCCAGAGGGCTGGGGAGGGTTTATTGAGGTATTTCGAATATTTAGAGAGGATGGAGCACAGTATATAAATCTGTAGTAGATGGAAAGCAGGGTAGGGGTCGTTCTAGGAAAGGTTGGAGAGAGCGGTGTAAAGGTTTTGTGTATGAGGGGTTTAGACTGCCAGCAAGCATGCGTGAGCGTGTTAGATAGGAGTGAGTGGAGGTAAATGTTTTCTGTGACTTGACGTGTTGTTGGAGTGTGAGCAAGGTAACATTTATAAAGAGATTCAAGGGAAAACGGTTAGCCGTACTTGAGTCCTGGAAGTGGGAAGTACAGTGCCTGTACTTTGAATGAAGGTGGAGATATGTCGCAGTTTTTGAATTGTTGTGTCGACATGTGTTGGGAAACGGCAAGGAATTCGCGAGAGCATGCGAAATATACACAAACACTGATCTCTGGCTGAAGGAGACTCGAACCTACGAACCTTAGGACAAGGTACGCAGTGCTTTACCAATCTACCCACACTGGACCAAGTGGGTACAGTGTGGGTAGATTGGTAAAGCACTGCGTACCTTGTCCTAAGGTTCGTAGGTTCGAATATATATATATATATATATATATATATATATATATATATATATATATATATATATTATATATATATATATATATATATATATATATATATATATATATATATATATATATATATATATATATATATATATATATATATATATATATATAA